TTTTGGGAAACATCTTAAACTTCAAAGTCTAAGCTGAATTACACAGCATGCATTCATTTAATTGTGGCAGGAAAGATTCTGAGCAGTGGACAGATAACCAGGATTTAGTATGAGACTGTGATGGGTTTTCAGATTTAAGTATTTGAAATTGAGATTCCAGACATTCAGATCTCTCAACTGACCAGGATTAGTTTCTTCTTAGAAGAAAAGTTTAAGTAGTAATAGAGGAAGCAGCAAATCCAGAGAACAGGACAAACAGAGTTTTTCCACTTTGACAATCATATTTATCATTTAAGAGTCTTAGATTGCAGATCAAATGGTATTATTGTTCCCTATTGTGTTGTATGACTGTCTATGCCAACTTTGTTGCTGCTGTTTATTGCAAGTGTCATAGTTATATCCATTTTTCCTACATTTCTATATTGCAGGTATGGACTAGGTGGGATCCACTATTTGGATGCTGGCTATCGTGACTTTCGAGCCTATTTTGTGGTCCCTCGCAAAGGCACCGTATGGGTAAGTTATGCATCCCCAAGTAAAGAGGGAGGAGATAGGGTATGACCTATCCCAGGGTCATTGAAAGGTGGAAATGAGGCTCATGATTCTATCCCTTTTGCAGAGTATCTCTGGATCTGATTGGCTGAACACAGTGGCTGCTGGTGATGTCACAGGGGAATTGGTGGCTGCAATAATGCCTGATCTCTCCATCAACCCACAAAATGTCAAGCGGCCATCAGACCGTCGATTTGTAGGTTTTGCTGCCACTGAGTAATGGGAAGATTATGGCAGGCCCACAAGCTTCATCTCCAACCAAACAGGGTAGAAAACAAGAATGGACCCCTCTGTCAACTCTCTAGATCCAGGTTGGATCTGAGTGGAGGAAAGGGAAGCTTGTTGATGCATTAACTGTAGCCAGTTGTGCAAAGTGAGGAATTTCTTCAGGAAATGCACATTGTTTGGGTGGAAGCATGTTCCATTATTAATTTTGAAAAGGAGAAAATAAAACAGAAATGTTTTGGTTGATATTAATAGTGTGGGTATTTAGTTTCCTGAGAAAATTAAGGGCACATAATTTGGGGATATGAAGAAGTTGAGTTCTGTGCTCCAAACCACAAATATAAGATTTACATGGCCTTTGAGCCTTGAGAAAGCAAAATTGTAGGTAAATGAATGCATATGAACGAGCCCCCCCCAAAAAACTTTCCCTGGAATAGATTTAATGACAATCTTGAGAACTTCAGTCATGGTAGCTCTGGGTCAGATCGATTCCTTCAGCTGCTCAATATCTAGATTTAGATTTTGTAGCGCTTCTTCTTAATTATCATTGCACTTGTCCTCTGTGATAAACCATTGACTGGAACACAACATTTCTTGTCTCTGAGTCCATTGTCTTCTTATCCTTAACACCTATTTCTCTTTGTGTCTTCAGCTCATCTGCAAAGCAGTCTTACAGCCAAATGACTCACTTGACAAGATTGCAACAGAGGCAGCAGCCTATGAGAAGCCACAGACAGTGGGCAAAACATGCAATGAATCAGTGGCCCAGAATTTCATTCTCTTCCAAGATGCTGATTTGGTGAGGGCTTGGAAAAGCAGAATTCTGGTTCAGAGAGAATGGCAGTTACAACATGGGAATAGAGGGGCCCATTTCAGCTTCATAAATATTCCAGGCAGGACCCTTTATCTCTCTGACCAGAGATAACTATTGATGTGGATCTGGCACTGAATATATTGAATGCTAACAGAGGCCGCAGAAACTGTGGTTATAATTATTCTACTCTCCTCCTTGTGCTAACTTCAAGATGCAGGGTTCCCACTTCTGATTTCTATGTAGCACTGCTTCTGTCAGGCCCACCCATTCTGTGGTGTGTTTCAGACTGATAAGGCTCCATCCCAAGCCAATAAATCACTAGTTGACAACTGGAATCAAAAGGCCTTAATGGATAAAGCACTTTGTTTTCTTGATCTACTCAGGCCTGCTTTTACTTATTTTCTCTGCCCTCTCTAGACATCTTTCAAGAGCCTCTTCAGGCAAAAGCCCCAGAAACACCTGCCAAAAGAAGTAAAAGAAGGAGCCGTCTTGGGCCGCATGCAACTAGAGAGTGTACATAAGGTAAACAAAAAAGGAAAAAAGATTGTACAACTCTAGAAGGAAGAAAAAAATGTTACTTCACAACATCTCTTCCTTTGTGTTGAATTGTGGCTCCCCCATCCTCTCTGAAGTTTCATGGATTTGTGAGGAAGAGAGATGTATCTGGAGGTGGGTGGGTTACTGGTTAATGTCTTCTTCAACTTTCTCTTTCTTCTCTTGGCAGGTGCGCTTCAGCCCAAACCTTGACAGCCATAGTTGGGTAGTGTCTGGTGGTCAGTCTGGCCTTGTACGACTTCACTGTGTTCGGGCATTGGTTTTCCCCCGCAGCCACAAGCTTCTCCTTGAGTGTCAGGCCCATTTCAGTTCCATGTTTGAGTCAGAGAAACAGATTGACTGCCCCACAACCATCTCATCTGGGCTGCACAGTGCTGTCAGCTGAATATCACCCAGGGCAAGTCAATTTGGGGCGTCAAGATACATGACTGGCAAACTGAAGGCCTTTTGTAAGAATCCTGAAATTATCAGAATATACTGAACACAACCAAGCATGAAATACAAGAGGATGTTGGCCATATTGAAACGGATAAGCTGAAGAGAATGACAAAGGCAGGATTTGGCCAGATTGTGATGAGTGGAATGTACCAGAGCGTCTAGCAGCACCAGAAGTCAGCTCCTGTTGTGGGAGAAGAGGCAGTGATGAGGAATAGTCCATCCTGCTGTATCTCTGTCATGTCATGATAGTTCTTTCTTTGAGCTCTCTCCTGAGGTTCTCCTGCATGGCACAAAGCTCAGAAAGGAGGGATTTGATCTCCCTCTAGCAGCTAGTCTGGTGGATTAGTGCCCTGTATTCTTCTTGGATAGATCTGGAGATTCTCCTGAAACCTAGATCTGCTCTGATTAAAGCATCAACAAGACTTTCTTGCCCCATTGCTCACCCTGCTTCTCCCAGTCTTGTTGGTGACAATAATTTTGCTCACATTGAGCCATTTTGTTGTCTTAACCGTTATTAAAATGTGTTTTGGTTTGTAAAAGCACTTTCTTCCTTTGGAAAGGGCTTCACATGCCCCCTTCCTCTCTGTGGTGATAAATGAGGAAATAAGCCTAAGGAGTCCATGGTGCTCTCTCAGCTTGTTTCTTTGTTTGCAGATGTTCACTAACTAGGTAACATCATCAGTGCAAATAATAAGCCTATGTGCATCTTTGTCTTCAAAATGAGTTAAAAATAGTGCATTTTAGTTATTCTCTTAGGAATCTGTTTTAAAGAGTAAATTTTTACCATTTTCTTTATCGTGGAAAATTGCACGTTTGTAGTATATTGTTTCTAAGGAGATCTCAGATAAGACTCAATCCATCTCCTAATCTGTCTTCCACGACAATTGCTGCTCACATTCCTCCATAAGTTGTCAACACCGAGGACTTCTTTCAAACAACAAAGTAGATACCTACCCATAAATCGCATAGAGACTCTCCAACTATGCTGCAACTTTTAGTGATTTCCCATAATTTTCACTGTGGAGAACTGAGTAAAAAGGCTATTTGAACTCTTAAGTATTTAATAAAATTGATCTCCCTACCACCACTAAATTCTGGAAAATGTCATTTTGCCAACTCACGTGATATGGATCTTCTCACTCTGGTTTGCCATCTTGCCTGTTACAGTTCTAGTACCAAACAAGCTGTTAATTCTAGCTAGCAACAGATGCCCATAAAGAGACAAGAGTCAGTATAGAATATATTCACATAAGCTGTTTAAAGACCTCTGAGCCAAAAACTACAGCTCTTTAGGGTTTGCTTGATCATCCCCTTTCCTTCAACCCCCTATTTGCACTCTAGAACACTTTGTTCTATATCTCTACAACTGACATAGTTCCCAAGCCCCAGTAAACTGGGCTGGTATAATTGAGGCAGGTTACTTTATTGGAATTGCAGATACTTTCAGCATTGAATTAAAATAGTTAAAATACCATTTGGATTCACTGTAAAAAAATATTATACAGTAAAAATGTACATACACTACACAGACATACACAATACAAGATAATACTCAAATTGTGAATGCAAATAAGATGGGTTGAGCATATGGTGTTATGCTTGTGGAAACAAGTTCAGATAGCAGTAGCAGCAACACTATTGCTCACTAAGATTTTGAGACCCTTGGGTCTCTGGAACTGTGGCTTGAGGAGCAGCTTCTTTAACTATTTTAACCACCTGTATCAGATACGGAATATTTCTGATACCAACTGGTAGCGAGCAGTCAAAAGGATACTTTTGGACTCCACTATTAGATTGGGAATAGAACATTATCTTCAATAATAATGTATCCTGCAATTTGTTCTAACTTTGGACTATGAGAGGGAGGATTGGTCTCTTCAGCAAGGTTTTTGGATGCTCAAGAGAAACTCTACTGGTAGCTGCCTGGAGAACACATGAGTACCTTGAGCTACGTTGCAGAAGAAAGAAAGTGCCATGGGGACTAAAGTAAACATTCTCAACTAACCAGCTACCTTATTCTGCCATGCTAGTTGGGGCCTGGGGGTAGGTGATTTCGCTGAACTATCTCTACCCTTGCTGCTGAAATCTGCCTGACTATTGAATGAAGCTGCAATGACCTTAATATTTTTTCCCTCCCCCCCCCACAATCTTCCCTAAATCTTAAAAGTGGATAGTAACTGTAGTCTAATAATAATGTTGGAAGGGACCTTGGAGGTCATCTAATCCAACCCCCTGCTCAGGCAGGAAACCCTATACCAGTGGTTCTCAACCTGTGGGTCGGGACCCCATTTGGGGTCGAACGACCATTTCACGGGGGTCGCCAAACAAGGCTGTCTGCCATTTTTTCCCCCTTTTCTTTGGCCACGCCCCTGGCACCCAGTGATGTATAAGTGGTTCGGGGTCACCACAACATGGGGAACTGTATTATGGGGTCGCGGCATTAGAAAGGTTGAGAACCACTGCCCTATACCATTTTGGACAAATGGCTGTCCAGTCTCTTCTTAAAAACTTCCAGTGTTGGAGCTAAGTTCTAAGTCAAGTGGTTCTTCAGGCATCCTTTCATTTGGTATTTATATTATTATATATACAACATTATATCCAAGTTATGAGTCCGCACTTAATTCCTGTTTTTCTTGTTCAGATCAATAAAAGAACAGTGCAATAGAATAGTTTGAGAATCTACACTTTTGCTCTTCCAAGTGAGGCTTGGGTCACCATAACCTGTAAACGAATACAGCATCCTGGCGATCATAGCATGTAGTGTCTATATGTGCATAAGTTTGGAGGTCAGGACTGGTCGTTATTTAGATGAGAAGCCTCCAGGGAATACCAGAGTAGAGAACGTGAAAAAAACATGCTGAAAGAAGACAAGGACAGACATTTCTATATTATGGCTAAAAAAATGACACAGATGGATCCATGGAATCACCAGGAGCTGAGACTGACTCACATGAAAACTGACTCATTAAAGCCTGGTTTAGATAGCAAAGCTATGCAAATGTCCATTTTTCTCCAGGAAAAGGAATAAAGATAACTTCAGCTGGGGTGGGGGTGGTGAGATCATTGAGACAAGACATTTTTTGTGGCTAATTTTGTTGCTCCTTTGTTCTACTTTTGCAGTATTAGTCACAATAGAAGATAGAGTGGAATAATGTTGCCCCACACTTGCTTTAAACATTCATGTTCATTATGGAAAAAAATTGTTACTTCCACAACACATGCAAACACAGATGGTCACAATAAAAGCCCTGAACAAGCACCAAGCCATCCAGATTGAAAAAAAATAACTGCTTTTCATCTCAGAGAAAAGAGGACAATGTTGCAGATGTTTAAAAGCCTTGCCCCCATGTCCCCATTTCTGATGGATTTGTACATTAATACGTTTAGCAAATGAACGTGAGAAGCAATTGTGGCCCCCAAATGACTGGAATGTAATATGAAGAGGCAAGGCTGAGCCTGGAATGAAGCTCAACCACCTGCAACTCTTCCATTGGAGGCTTCCCTGGCTGGGCAGACAATTATCCCTGGTGCTTTGCCATTCCCTGTATACGCTGCTTGAACATGCATGGAGAGGAGGCTTTTGCTGCAAATGGCAAAAGAGGCTGGTCCCTGCTTCTGGCCCTGGGTTTCCAGGCACCTCTTGGGACTGGCAGTTGAAGAGAAAAGTAGACAGGAGAGCATTGCCCTTAGTCCTGTGGGTCCTGGCACTGCTGGCAGGTGGCCATGTCAGCCAGGTAGGGCTCCACCTGAATGGTGCATGAGAAGAAGCCAAACTTGCTTTGTAGCAGAGCTGTGGCTTCTTGTAGCACAACCTCCATGTCAGCATTGGATTCTGGAAACAAAAGTCAAAGTAGGGTCAGTTGTAATCTGGCTCAGAATATCTCATGCATTCCCCTACAGGGGAAATAAAACCTCCTATTTGTAGTACCCAGGCTAGAATAGCAGAGGTCCTATTTTGTATCCTCTGCATCTCCCAAGTAAGACTACAAAAGACAATTTTCTGAAAAAGCTTAAGGGCAGCACAGGCTTGTGATAAGATATACAGTAAAGCAGGGTTCTCCAACCTTGGGCACTTTATGACTTGTGGACTTGTGGACTTCATGGCTGGCTGAGGAATTCTGGGAGTTGAAATCCACAAGTCATAAAGTGCCCAAGGTTGGAGAACCCTGCAATAAAGGGTTCCATTTTATAATGGGCAAGGCCAGGAACCATCGGGGAGAGATTGAAAGTTTTAAAGATGAAATGGGGGCCTTATACATCTGTAAACAAGATTTAAAATCGTTTCAAAAATTGAAAAAGAACCTCTAAACCAGGGATGTCAAACTGCCGGCCCATGGGCTGGTTTCATCATACCAGAGCTGCGCCCACCCCATTGCCGGCAATGACAAAAAAGCTCCGATATGTTGTGCGACGTCACTTGATGTCGCGAGTTTGACATGTCTGCTCTAAACTAGTATTCAAATATTTGGTTCTCCTGGAAGCCTTTGGAGGCAACGACAATAGTAGCAATATCACAACCGCAACCGCCCACACTAGGAGAAAGTAAAATCTTAAAGTCCAGTGTATTCTTGGTCATGCCATTAAAAAAAAACAAAACTGGGGGTTTCTTCCATTTTGTCTTTCCAGGATGCAGAAATGTGCTTCTGTCACAATCTGTCTATTTTTAAACCTGTATACTCCTTATAAACCAAGTCTGAAAGCCCATGAAAGACTGCAGATTTCCTGCATGGTTTACAGCTGCTCAGAATGGAGGGGAAAAGTACTCACCAATGGCTATGTGTACAGCCACAACATGATGGCTGAGAGTTAAAGCCCAAAGATGCAGATTATGGACATGCTTCACACCTTTGACAGAGAGCAGGGTTTCCTTAACTGCTTGGAACTCCACACCTCGTGGTCTCCCTGAAGGATAGAAAGAAATGGCACCCACTTAACTGGGTCCAATTCCATCCCCATTTAGAAGCCTCTGATCCCTGCTTGAATTGTGCAAAGTGACTGCCTCTTGTGTAATCCAAACCTACCATAAAGCAGTCATTTTACACACAGATCCTGGGAGGAAGCCACAACATGCAGAAGAAGAGAGGTATCTTCTATGCAATTTCCCCTAAGTTAAGGAAAGCACTGTCACATCAACTAGGTAGCTCAACATGGAGACATTATTCCAAGACCAGTCTTGAGAAAACACTCAGTTCCATTTATTTTTGTACTGAAATTTGAGAGGACTAGTATACATCATTTTATTTTTGCCTTGATCAGAAAAATCACTTTCCAGTTCTGCCCCCCCTCCAATGGAGAGCATAGCCACTTTCTATATGTGCAAGTTGCACAGAGCCTTGGTTTAGTTAAAATTTGTTGAGTAAGTCCAACATAGGTTGGCTTCACATACCACATTAAATCTCAATTTATGATTAATAAGTGTGTGAAAGATTAAAACTCAATAAATGATTAATCAGTATAATAACATACACGCTTGATTCTATACAGTTCTTTTATCAAAGACAAGTAGTTACCTGAGACTCTGAGCATCCAGCATTGCTGAATTGTGGAAATTAGCAATCTTTCTTTCAAAGTCTAATTTCCATGAACTAGTGATGGCTGCCATAGATTTGGACAGCATAACAAGCCTCAGGTATGCTATTGCCCAAATTTAAAGAGTTGTGGCTCATGCACATTTAACAGAAATTCCATAAACATAGTTTGCATATTCTAACTGTGGTAATCATAAGTATATGTTGGGAAATCATTCCAGTTGGGTATAATCATCTGTGGTGGTCCTTTTAACTAAAAATGCTGTTCCCAAACAGGGGGACGTTGATGCTGTTACTAATCTAAAAACCATTATACAATTCTTGGTTTGTTACTGAAGTTTGAAAAGAACCATGGCTAATAGTCAGTCTCCTAGTGTTTCCTTGAAACCCAAGCCATATGTGAGCCTCCCTCACCCTGATATGGGCTCTTGGACATTTCCAGTAAATTGCATAATGCTTTCAGAATTTTTAGCTGTAGTCATGCCATCTGCAACCTGGATGGACTCAGTGGGACAATGGGTGTCCCACTGGTACACTTGAAAGCCAGGCTAGGGACAGATCATTATGGAGAAAACCTATCTATGTGGTTGCTAAGAGTCGACACTAACTTGAGGGCACCTAACCAATCAATCAAATCAATGCCAACTAAGTGCAAACATGAGTGGCAAATGTAAATAGGATTTGAGCCAAATCAGGACAAATGCAAGATTAGAGAAGCCCTTGAGAAACTTCCAGGTTTGCAGAAGGATAAAGGATTTTTTATTTAAATTGACAGACTTAACTGTCAGTACCTATCCTTCCATTCCCCTGCCATCACAACTGATGAAGTTTCTTGAATGAGAAACAAAACATTGTGTTCTTTTTCCTCAAGGAAAAAATCTGCCCAGTTGCCTTTTGAAAAAGCACCTTTGAGACAGCTATGACCTGGCTGACTGAGAATCTCCACAGATATTTAAATGGACAAACCAACTAAAGAACAGGGCAGCAAGGACTGAATATCCTTTGGTACTACAGAATATCAAATGCCAGGTGGAAAATTAAAAAACAGGAAGCAGGAATAGACTGCCAGGTTGATTTCTTTGCAGCCTTTAATATTGAAGTAGGTATGTCTACTTGCCAAGACCCCTAAAGTGGAGCATTTCAATTGGGCTGTGTGTAACGTTTTGTTACTGATCCCACTGGAAATTATCCCATTTATTGTACGGTAACTAATTGTAGGTAGTTGATCACTATCATCATCAAGATAATTTCTTCATCTTATTACTTTGATCAATGCAGACTCTGCCTTGGTTATTTTCTTATTGCAAAAGTGTTAATAGTTTATTTCTAAACATTTGCCACTTGAGTCAAGAGATCTAAAGGCCAACTTATGAGCAGACCCTGTGGTGGGTTCTCATTTCTTCACTTTTTGATATACATAACTAAAGAGATTTTTGTCATTATTTTCTTCCTCAATGTACTTAAGGAAAATTCCTTTGCTCTTCACATCATTGCCCGAAACTGTAAATGCATTTATATCATCCACTTACACTTAATTATAGAGAAACCACTGTTAATTACTAGTAATTTCCTATAATAAAATTGATTATCTGCAAGAATCATTCTAGAATTATTTTAACAATGTCCATCCCCCTGTAGTGTAGCCTTCTTGCAGCTGTGAAAAACAACTTACCTTCCATGAGTACTCGAAAGACATCACGAAGGATGGTTAAGGTGGAGCCCAACACAAAGACTGAGAAGAGGAAAGTACTTACTGGGTCAGCAATCTTACATTGGGGCTGCAAAAGAGGAGAGGGAATGGCAGCTAGTATGAAGCATCTTGGTACTGAAAGGATTTTATTGTGCTTATGATTTTAGTATGTTTAAGTTTGATATTAGCATTTATTTTATATATAGTAACCATTTTATATTGATAATTATAGTGTTATCATGTAATCATTGCTTTGTTATTTTGTAATCATTATTTTGTAGTTAATTGCTTGATCAGATGCTTTATATATATATTGGAAAAGTAAGGGCTTCATGCTTTAGGTATAGGTGATTGCTTATATGAAAAGAGCACAGTAAGGGGAGGGGGAAAAGGAGTTATGGATGGAGCCTGGGTTGCTGTGTATGAGTCATCATCTAAGAATTGTTGGGTTTTTTTGTGCCAGCTCATGCCTGGTACCAAGAACTGATCTTTTTGTTCTGGAAAGGTATAAAAGGTGGAAGACATCTTTTCTGCTTGCTTGCCTTCATTCCTCTACCAGCCACGAAGAGGAATCAGGCAGCCCCTCTCTGTTTTAATCAAAATAAAGTTGTAATCTTTGTTGAAACCTCGGCTCAGGAGTTTCTTTGGCTCTTTTAAATTCCTGAGTAATGCTGGGGCAATTGTGAGGTTAAGTGGAAAATCTTACAGTACTTATCTCCCAATTCTGACACCCTGGGTTGGTTTTGCAAAGGAAAAGGACAAGTAGTCACATCAAACCCCTTATTTTTTTATAGCCAAAGTTCTCAGTAGAATGTTTACATATTTTGATCTTCATTAACATTGTTATATCCGAGCCATAAAAATTCATATGACCATTAAATAGATGCCATTTTGATGGACTGATAGCCCAGACAGAGTACAGTAGGCCCAAATTTTGTGCAGACAATTCCTCTGAAGGTAACTGGGTTTTCTATGTTATACTGCAATTTTGTGTTATGGTTATTTTAATTCTTTTAAAAATATTTTGCTCTCTTTAAACACACATCCATCATTAAATTCATTGGTAAGTTTGTTTTCTTTTAGATTTCTTTTATGCAATTTGATATTCTGTTACTGGCCAGACAATCATGGTTGCACTTTTTGTGGAAGTACTCTTAAAATTCCAAACATGTCCTCTACATCACAAACATAAATTGTTGTCATTATATGTCAATGAGTATAATTACTAGGAGTTTCTGGGTCCACTTTCTCCCAAGTAGTCTGGATAGGAACTTGGTATCTCTTCCACTGAACATCTGCATGTACAGCAAATGAAATGGAGGTGTGTTTTACAAGGAAAATGTATCTTGTTCTAACGATCAGACACCTATATCTCTGTTTCCCTGAGCCTAATCACCCAATCAGACCCATCATTAGGGCAAAGATATCTGGCCCAACCATATGTTCTTCTGCAATGTGTGAGTCACATTGTTTATTTACAGTATTTATCTCCTGGGTGACTTTAGTTGTGCTGGGATTCCACAACTACTTTTCTGCACAACTACTGTCTCAGGCTGGGTGGAAAGTAGAAGTAATGGAGGGAGATGCTCATAAGAGAGGTCTTCATTTAGAGAACAAGAGAAAGATTTGATTGTATTAAACAGTATCGTAACCTGATCCTTCATACCTTGAAATAGATGACAGTGGCAGCCACAAAGACCCCAATGCTTTGAAGTAGGTCCCCCACCACATGTACAAAAGCCGCTCGGACACTGGTGTTGCCATGGGTGGGAATGGAGGGGCCATGGGGGCTGTCCTCAATCTGTTCATAGCCTCTTGTGCTGAATCCATGACTGTGTGCAGAGCCTGACTGATGCAGAAGGTAGGCCATGCTGTGGAGAGTTTCAAGAGTGGTAACTAAGATCATCTTTGTCTCTGATTCTCACCAAACAATCCTAAAAATCCCATCCATCTCAGCAAACCCTCTTCTACCCATACTGTAGTTCCTGCTCCTTCACCAATCGGTGCAGACAACTGGACTAGCATATGTGCCATATTCATAGTGGTGATATTGTTTAATTACAAAATAATCATAGTCAAAATGTAGCAGCTATAGTATAGATCCTTAAGGGCATCTCCTAATCAGTGCTTTTAGGGCAACCAAGCAAAATAGGAAATCTTTCAAATATACACATGTTTTATTTTAATACATAATTGTTTATCTAATATTTTAGAATTCCTCTGCAGTAAGCAAGAGAGGCTAGGTGGAATACTGCCTGATAGGATCAACAATGGTTTCCACATTATTTCCAGCATCCGGAAGGATTAAAAAGCAACAGTTTGGGGAAAAGACACTTTTATAAAGATGAACAGTGAAGGGCAGTGGGTTCTAGCAAATCAGATCAAAAGACCACCTGAAGTACAAGTTTCTTTCCAATCAAACCAGTCAAATAATTCTGGAAATATCAACAAAAAACCCCAAACACAGTGGCATCTTAAAGAGAAATAGAACAAATTTCTTATGACCAGAAACAAGACTTCCTAATAGAACACTTTCAACATGCAATCAGTGGAACTATATGGCTGACAGCTTGCAAGCTTGTTGCATAATTGATATCTGATAATTAAAGTTACCTCCTCACAGAGTTAATATTCAAATATTTTCCCCACCCTAGAAATCCTTACATGATGTTCACTCCCACTGCACAGGCTGAAGTGCCCAGCATCACAGAAGCTTCAATCTCATAGTCGTTGCTAATTATACGGGCTGAAGCTAAGTAGACCAGCACTCCTGTAACGATCCAGATAGAGATGACGGAAGCCAAGGCACCCAGTGTTTCTGTGAGAAAAAAGAAAGCTGCTGTTCAGGTTCCCTGACTATCTTGACAATTTTCTTCCTGATCTTTCTGCAAGCTGCTCGGGAAATAGTAATGCAAACTGGCATTTATTTCACACCAAAAGGGCAAAACTTAGATCTTATCTCGGCTCTGTTCAAAATTATTTGGAGAAAAATTGGGGAGAATCTACAGGCTAGTTTAAATTTTCACACTGGCCCTTTCCCTACTTGCCATTTAGAGATGTTTTAGAATGCTCTGACAATTGCCACACTCTCCTTAGATCAACTGCATGATATTTTAACATCACCTAGCCACCATGTCAAAGTAACAGTGAAGTAGATATGCTTTATATCATTTCTACAATGCTGGGTGATGTTACCAAGACAGTAAAAATGACCACTCATTTCATTACTAGTGGAAGATTTAAACAGCCTTACATTGTGATTTTCCTCTTTAACCTTACATTCTCTAATCAGTTGTATTTAGTGAACAATTGCATTTATTAGCTAATGCTCAAGATTTGAAATCTGAGTTTCAACAATACACAGAATGAGAACTGCCAGATGTACAAACCAGATTCAGAAGAGGGAGGGGTCCTTTAGCTTACATTGATAACAACTGATAAATAACAAGAAAAGCAAAGGAAGCTCCAAAAAGATAATTATTTTGGCATTTTTATTATGTTCAGGCTTTTAACTGCATAGTCCACAACAAAATGTATATAGGTTTTAAAAATATAGATGTATCCAGCCATCTCACTTGGCTATTTTAGAATGTATTTGATGATTAGGCAGTAACAATTAAACAGTATAAGGTGCAAGTAAATGATTCAATATTGGAATAATTGAGAAAGGAATATATTATGAGAAATGCTGAATCAGATGAAATAGAAACTGAAATTCAACGTTGGGAGAAACATCAACAGCCTTAGAAATGTTAATGATACCTTGAGGTCTTGAAGTGAGGAAGGCATCTCTTGTTAAATCTCTTGTTAAAAATGAAAAAAGGGAGTGCAAATGGTTGCTCAGTTCTCAATATAAGAAACCCCTAAGGCAGGGGTAGGCAACCTCGGCTCTTTTATGACTCATGGACTTCAACTCCGAGAATTCCTGAGCCAGCATAGCTGAGCATAGCTGACTCAGGAATTCTGGGAGTTGAAGTCCATGAGTCATAAAAGAGCCGAGGTTGCCTACCTCTGCCCTAAGGCTATGTCAAAAGGCAATGCTAACTCAAGGCAAATTGAGAAGAAGTTGAAGTAATAGCATATTATTTTCCTAGCCTCAAAAATGTAGAGGGGTGGTGACTATAGCCATTAAATGAAAACATATCACCTCCTTCAAAACTAAGTTTAGGCAAAATATTAATGTGAAGAAACAACAAGTCTCCATTATCATTATGGCTTTCTAGGTATATGGCTATAAAAGCTGTAAAAATTGATTGAGAATACCTTGGGTGACAAGAACAGATCATTCAATACCAGAGGAAGTAAAATCAGACTGATCACTGGACACACATTGATAAAAAAATTAATGGTGAAATAGTCTGATACACAATGTGAAAAGACCCTTCTCATAATGGAGAAAATCTTGATACTTGGAAAAATCAAAGGCAATAAGAAAAAAAAAACCAAGACAAAATAAGGTGTCTAGATAATATCACTGATACAACTATAGAATAATAATAATAATAATAATAATAATAATAATAATTTGGAACACAACACGCCAGATATCGCAGTTGTGGAGAACCGAAGCGTACAGCTGATTGATATTGCTGTAGCAGGAGATGCCAGAGTCGAAGAAAAAGAACTGGAAAAAATTATGAAATATCGTGACCTGGCCATCGAAACTGCACAATTATGGATGAAACGTGTAACAGTGATACCCATTGTCATCGGGGCACTGGGAACTATGTCAAAAAACTTTGCAAAATACATTAAGAAACTGCAGCTTCCTACAATAACTCCAGCAATGTTACAAAAAACTGCGCTACTCGGAACATCATATATTTTAAGGAGGTACCTGGTTGACACCTAGGATGCTGGTAGCAACCTGTGTCAACCATCAGCGCCAGCCAATTTGAATGTTCAGTTGACTGAGGTTCATGTCTAATTAATAAAAGATAATAATAATATTATTAATAATAATGATGATGATGATGATGATGGAAGGGACCTTGAAGGTCATCTAGTCCAACCCCCTGCTTGCAACATGCTTGCAATAACTCAAAGTAGTAGTTATCAGTAATTTTAGAGATGCCACTACAGAGTCCCCAAACTGCAACAGAGTACAGTGACATCAGATCTACCTTATCCATGATACATGAGTTAGTAGATGAGGTGCCAAAAAGGGACAACAGTAAAAACCAGAGGATAAAATCATTTGGAGGGCCTATAATAGACACACTCCCACAGCTGGGCAATATAATTAAGTATATTGCCACTCTGTGAGATGGGTGGTTTCCAAATTTGATAAATAGAAATAGAAAATGGATGAAAATAGAAAAAAAGGCACCTTTGGGGATAATCATGACCAGGATGATTAAGAATAGCCATTGACATTTTGTTCCTGAGGCAAGACTAGAACTCACAGTCTCTTGGTTTCTAACCCAATGTCCTAACCAAACTGGCTCTCAATAAGTAATTTAAACAATTGTAAATAAAAACAAATTAATAATTATTTCATTACAAATAACCAAACTATAGGGTAACTGATTGTAATGGTCTTGTGAGTATATCAAAGGAATTCATCAGCTCTGATAGTGAGTCTCTTGCCTTCCTCCCTTTCCTCATCAAATCCTATCCAGTCCTAGAAGTTCTTTGGGCTTCTAATTGCCAACAGATTACCTAGAGTCCTAGACAAACAGTAGAAGGAAGGGAGGGAAAAGCAAACTGTAGGGAAGTCTTAGACAATGGACAAGTACATCGCACGGATACCAGGTGAAATGTTCAAAATAGGCAGCCCTGAAAATAGATGCTGGAGAATATTCTTGATTAATTTTGCATCTGATTCTCTGCCTCAAAAGAGAGTCCGCAAGTCCCCTGCAAATCCAAAACAATCTTTTGATCATCATCAAACATCTAAAAAGGAAAACAGATACATAAATCTTCTTTATCTTCAGTCAGTCACTCTGCTTCCTTACTCCCTTCTCTCTTGGAGTTCTCTGCATGCAGCATTCAGATAACCACTTAAACTCTGAGCCCAAACCTCAGTCCAGGGGAGAGGACCCCAAACTTTAAAAAATCTGTAAGAAGTATTGCTACATACAAATTCAGCAATTATAACATACTATAGATCCTATGTCTCCAGGGACCTTAATCACAGTGCACATAGCTCTATCTTGCTTTTTCTAAGCATTTTGCCCTCACACTGCTTTGCAGTGGTTCAAAAGAAAGAAGAAATTCATTCCTTCTAGTCTTTCACACAAACGTTTCTTTTGAAGATGTCTCACAATATGTTCAAATGCTGTTTTTTATTTTAATTGGTGTAATTATTTTGTCAGAAAAACAGAGGGGACAATAGGGGAAAAAAAGCATTCACAGAGAAGAGAGTACCATAGTTGCATATATAAAAGGTACTGTACAGTATTGACAAGTATTTTTTTAAGAAGGGAACAACAATCCCAGACCTCACACATGGGAGAGCAATACTCACCAAAAGTATGTTTCAGATGGATTTATATTATAGTTCAAGGAAGTAAAACAAATACATGTAAATATATGTTGGACTATTGACTTCAATAGATAAGATGGAGATACCTTGGCACAGGCTATCATGGAAGGAATACATGTCCTAAACCAATACCAATGTTAAAAAAGATTCTGATCAGAGGAAAATCTTATACCACAAGATCAGAAGGATTATCCTTCAGAATTCATTCATTTTGTCAATGGAAAACAGGCGCAGGTTAGTGTGAATAGCCCGCAGATGTAGCACAAGTGAAACCAGGAACAAATGCCCTGTTGTCTAAGGACTTTTTCATGAACACATCTTTAGAGTTTTCTAGAAATGTACATTTCATTCAGAATTTCCTGTAAAAGGCCAATTCAGTTATTATAATGTCCTCTCTAATCTCTTCAGGCAAAATGGTAACCTTAATTCTCAATGTCAATTATAGAAAAGGATTCTAACTTCCAGTGTAAAAAACATGCTTCAGCTTTCTGCTAATGTCAGAGAAGGGTTTGAATGATGGGAGGCGAGATACTATAGGAATGTTTTAATTGGTTAGCTAGTGAAAGGACCTACCTGAGCGGTGCCAGCCAAAGCTCATGGTTTTGGTGGCTGGGCGAGTGGAGACCCAGAGTGAAAAGAGGCTGACACCCATGCTGCCCATATCTGTCAACAGGTGGGCTGCATCTGTCATGATGGCCAGGCTATGTGCCATGTATCCACCTGGAAGACAAACAGACAGGCCCCAGGGGCTCTCAAAGGCATAGATGGAGACAGATCAATTAAAAACTAGTATATGTATGTGCACAACTTGCTAAACTGGTGGATAAGGTAATCATGTTTTGTTGTGTATCAATTTACGTGTTGTACAAACAGAAGCCTTTTAGTCAGTTTATTGTTTAATGAGCTGGATGAACCAGAAAATGAGTTAATTCAACAGCCAGGTTAAGTGTGTTTAGATGAATGCAGATGATTAATAAATTAATAAATAGAGAGGGCAGATCTATTATACCTTTTGACAAAACTGACCTATAACTTCTCCAACCATGAAGAGAAAGCAGACCAGACAAGCAATGCTGAGTTTCCGCTGAGCCTGAAGTTTCTGTTGACTTTGATTGGTGAAGCATGGCACAAGGTGACAATGGGGGATCATACACGGCTCTATCTTGAGACCCACCATGGATATATTTGCTTGGCCATTTTCTGAGGGCAGGTTGGGAAAGACCTCTTGAGAACCTGCAAACAAACTGAAAAAATATTGGGCCATCAGAAGAATCCTCCATCTGAGTCAGATGCCAGAAGTACTATTAAAGGAGAATATTTGTAGCTCAGGGTTGACATGAGGGTTGACATGAAATGTTTGCAAGAAAACAAACAAGCTCAGAGAGCACCAAGGACACCTAATGCTAGAAGTCCACATCAATTCCCCCCCCCCCGCCTCCAATGTTGCAATGGTGTTAATCCAATATCCAGCAAGAATAGAAAAATCACAAGTCAAATCTGATGAAGCCTTGAGCAGAAATCATGAAGGTGCAGTCCACTGGATTCTGGTGAGAGATATATGTTCACATTTTTGTTTTATGGAGAAATAGCTGTGCCGTTTAAAACCAAGAACTAACCACAAACAATGAGCAATATATATTGGCTGCACAGCGGTTAACCTGTTGATAGAATTAACTTATTTTATGAGAATGCATAATACATGAAATAATAAACTAGCTAAAGGGATGGTTTGAATAATATACTACCCCCCATCCCTCCCTCCCTCCCTCCCTCCACAGTACATCTTCAAACAAGTGTATAAATTATGTTCTATAAACTTTATTAGATCTTGAACTACCCTAGTTAAGGTACCTAGCAAACTGAACCAATTAGGAAGGAGATGGATGCACACCAGAAAGGAATTTACTGAGAATGACCTTCCTGACCATCCACCTTTGGCAGCGGAGTGACCAAGGAGGAGGAGTATCAACAACAACATATTGTCACTGTCACTCATTGTGACACTTAAACAGAACTGTCATGGTAATGATTGCAACTTGCTAATCCCTACTTCTCAGTGAATCCAATTTGGTGAATTCACACAATATACTGAAATTTAAACTAATCAAATGGATTAGGTTCGATCACTATACTAACCCACCATGAAAATTAAATACTATTAACACTTATCAAACATATTATGCTGTCTGTCAGCATCACTTGTGGACTTCAACTCCCAGAATTCCTCAGCCAAGCACACTGGCTGAGGAATTCTGGGAGTTGAAGTCCACAAGTCATAAAAGGGCCAAGTTTAAAGACCCCTGACTTAGATCTTTACTGAGCTGATTTTTGAGCACAGCATATTTGCCATTGGTTTTGAGTTGCTTGCAAGGAACAAAGAGTGAGGGAGATTTTTTGACTTCCTGCCCTATTGTGAGTCACTCACAGATATTAGCCTGACCGCTGCAAGAGGCAGAATGTTGGATAACATGGAATGATTTTGGCCTGATCCCTGTAAAAGCATGTGATATAACACAAGTGTAACTCAGCTCTGATGTTCACCACCCTATATTTATTTGGAACCTGGCAGTGTCTTTCATAAACACTCAGCCAGGGAAGACAGATGCTAATAATACATTTCAGCCACCCAGATGGATAATTAATAGCAAGAGATGGCTCAGTAAGCACTGAGCATCTTCTACCAATTTTGAGCCAACTGAATTCTCTGCCCCAACAAGAGCTGAAAATCCCCAATACAGCTCATGAGGTTTTGCCATAGCAGCTGCACATTACAAGGGCTCTTCTAAGAAACAGTTTCTTTGACTGCAAGCAAGCCTCCAGCAAAACTCTCAGCTGGACATGCTTCAACAGCAGGCCACTTGGGTAGTCAAGAGGGAGTGCAAGGATTCAAGCCAATCCTTAGAAGAAACCACCTGTTTTGCTTTCCTCTATGGCTATCCAATCACTTTCATACCACAGTAAGTTCTAGGCAACCTAAATAAGGAACTGCAACTCATATGCTCCTGTGCTTAGGGATCCCATCTCATTCTTCCTGTGTGGTCAGAAGATTCAGTACATTTCAGGTGTGTTAGCATTCACTTAGAAATCAAGAATTGGAAGATGTGTAGCTCAGATAGGTTTTGGATTAGCTCCAACAGCATACTCACATTATGTCACCTAAAGACTGTCTTCTATCCAGGACGTTCTATGGCCATGAATTGGGCTTAGGTGGACCTGATTCAGTTAATGTTAATTTGGGCACTTCCCCCACCCCTCCCCACTTTCTTCTTGTTGACTCTTAGAGTAGGCTTTGGATCCACCATACTCTTTTACTTGCATTGAGAAGGATAAAAATATGCGTCGTATGCAACCTTTTCCTCCTCTTCCTTCTTGCTCTGTCCCCATAACTTTGCTTTCTTCTGTCCTCAGTGAGACAGGCTTAAGTAATCTTTAGCTGGAATAAATTAAAGGAGCATTTTCTCTCCCTTATTCAACAACTCAGAAAATTAGACTCAAGGTGTAATATTTGCTAGGATTTGTTGCCCAGGACTTTAGAGGGACAGAACCAGTTTGTAGAACGTACGGCACCAGGCTAGAAACCGGGAGACCATGAGTTCCAGTACTTAGGCACAAATCCAGGTGGGTGACTGAGCTGATCACTCTCTCTCTGGCTAGGTAATGGTAAACCACTTCAGAAAATGTTCCCAAGAAAACTGCAGGGACTAGTCCAGGCAGTCACTAACATGGAGGCACATGCTGTACATGTACACTTTAAATGGAGTAGGGATTCAGATCAGTAACAAAGACCAAAACTGTCCTACTGGTATTGTCCTGCTGTGGGCTTCTTCCCCTTCAGTAGGGAAGGGCCTCTACTCGGAGCCTTTTTTCCTTCACCTCTTTTGTCCCTCATGGTCATGGTCCAATGGCAGGGAATCTGTGGAGAAGTACTGAAATGAATCTTGTGATTCGATCTTAATGGCTTTTATAATTGATCCCATTCCCTCTGATTATTTCAGATAGTTATACTTCGGAAGGAGCCTCTTCCCTGAGTAATCTGGAGCAAGATCGACCATTTCCTTCCCTCACGCTTCGCAGTGCAGGCTCGGCAGTTTTCATGGGGCCCAGCAGGGCAGGGTCTGCCTTCGCAGGCAGAGCGGCCTAGTGAAGGGAGCTGGAACTCCAGGTTCAAATCGTATCCTCTCTCATATAAATGCTTTGAAACCTCAGTGGTGGGTTAGCCCGGTTGCGCTCGGTCCTCCTGCGCAAGAGAGCCCCCCCCCACGGCCTTTTTCTTCTGGAGAGCTTTTTTGCAATGCCTGGCCTCAGTGCTCAAGGTCCCAACGCCATTTATACCACAGCTGGCCAGTCGGAGGAGCCGCAGAGGAGGCAAAGGAGCAGCACTTAAGGTGAGTCCCTGCGCCCCGCCCGCTCCTTTTGCACAGAAACTGAACGTCCCACGGGCAGAACTTAAAGCAGGGATGTCAAACTCAATTTCATTGAGGGCTGCATCAGCATTGTGGTTGCCCTGGGGGGGGCAGGGTTGTGTGGGCAACTGGGTGGGTGTGGCCTACTGGGTGGGCATGGCCAGCTCTACATAATTCGCATCAAGGGTGCCTGTGTGGGGCCTGGGCAGGACTGGGACAGATCTGAGGGTCTCTGGCAGAAGGGGGTGGGACTGGGGCAAGCGCCAAGGCATGGTCCATTTCTTCACTCCTCACAAAGGGTGACACCTCCCCAGCATGCACCCAGGGGGGTGGGGCCAACACAGCAGGGGCTGGTTTCTCGCTGTTTCTAGATGGCCTTGTGGAGCTAAGACTGAATGCGTTTCAGCATAAATGCCCACCACAAAATTGTACATTGGCTCCCGGCCAGCCTGGGCCAGGGCCAAGGCAGTGGGGGTCGTTCCCTCACTGTTTCCAGGATGGCTTCGCGGGCCACATGAAACCACTTCGCGGGTCGCATCCGGCCCCCGGGCCTTGTGTTTGACATGTCTGACTTAAAGCCTGGCTTGGAGACTGGAAAAGTCCCGTTGCTTTCATACCAGCTGAAGTTAAAAGATGAGCCAAGATTCCTCCGTCAACGCTGCGAGACTGCTCCAGAAAATGTATAAGTGGCAGGTAACTACCAGTCAGGCCATCCTGTTTCTCCAAGGCCAGCTAAAGGCCTGGCATCAGCTACATCTGCATACTAAACTAAATAGGATAGGGTTTAATAGGATTAGTTTTCGTTAGTTTTGTGCCTTTCGGAATTGGTTAACTTGTGTAAATAGATTAATTCCATTGTTGGTTGTGGGTATGTAACCAGCAGGTAGTAGAAAAAGTGTTTTAGGTATCAAAATTGTATTCCCTTCAAAGCACCAGGACAATCTGAAAAGTGTGATTGGAGTTGCTTCCAATTACATAGTTATTTAGATTTTCCTCCTAGCTACCTGGACATAATAAATTCAAGTAAAGAAATGCATCAATTAATCTATCCCTGAATTAACTTATTTTTGGGGACCGCCCCATATAGTAGACCATAACTGAATTCAGTCAGTTGAGTTCACAACTTAGTGCCCAGGAAGTTTTAACAACAAATTAACCAAGGTTAGAAGTAATTAAATGAGTCCTTGAAGTTGCCTGATTAGGTTAAGCATGTCCTGTGAAAAATTAATATGATTGTGCATGGGGGGGAGTGCTTATAGCCAGGACAATTGATCCTAATGACCTTCAGAACTTCTCTCTCTGACTAGGCTTGGCTAATCTGAAGAAAGGATGAAGGTTGTTGTTGGGTTCAAGTGCCTGCCCCCTCCTCAAGTGCAAGCAACAAAAGAAGGCAGAAGGGAAACAGTGACAGTCCCAAAGAGCAGAATTTACCAGCCCACTGCTCAGCTGTGCCTGGCATCCCACAGAAATATGGAGGCAGATGGGTAGAAAGCTAAAAGCCATCCCGCCTGCCAAAAGAGCAACCAGAACAGCAAAAGGAGGGATAGCAAGTAATGGATAACTCACTAACCTCCTCCCCAAATTTATCCCTAGAAGCCCTTCCAGGTGGCCTTTCATTCCAATGTAGTTATACTGAAGGTCTGTGTTTACAGTAGTTGAAGCAGATTGGATTAAAACAGAATGGCTGCATTTGTGCAAATTATGAAGCTTGATTACTTTAAACTTGATGTTAATGTTGCTTTTTGTGTATGCAGTCTTAGTGAATTATGGAAATAGAGCCCCTTTATTCTTCTAATATTATGTGATTCAGAAAATGGGTCATTTCAGCTGGTCCAGCTAGTCAGTGGTTCCTTTTCTGTGCAGAGCAGCATGCAAACAGGATTCCTTCTTTTCTCCCCCCAGCTCCCCACCCCAGCTCAGTCAGCAGCTCAGTTCTGGAGCTGTGCCTGCCAGAATCTTAGGAGAGATTTTTGGAAGGAGGTCCACTGAGGCAGCGGCAGCAGAAGGGAAATCCATTCCTTCCTCCCACCCCACTGCTGGTTCCACTGAGCAATAATCAACTGCTTTTGGTGCAGCAGCCAGGGCAGGAGGGATGGGGGGCATTACTGCAGCCCTCCCCCCCCCACACTAGGCTTTCCAGAGGCACACTAGGAAACAGAGAAAAGGCAGGCAGGAGGGGAAAGAGAAACACATGCTGCAGACCAAAACATCCACCCAAAGCAGTTTTTTTCTCCAAAGCTCCCCCCCCCCTTTGATCTCTTCCCTTTTCACTGCCTGGACCAGTTTTCCTTCTCCCACCTGTAATGAAATGGCGCTCCCTTCCCCTGCATCCCACAAGTAGGAAGCCATCAAGGGGGGGGGGGAAGGAGGGATTGAGCAGCAGGAATCAAAAAGTACGTCCTGTCTTAGGGAGGGCTGTAGGGATCTCAGAGGAGGAGAGGACGGGGGGGGGGGAGAAAATCAGCTACCCTGGAAAGAGAGGAAAAAGCCCTGAGTGAGCAAAGTTGTCTTTAGCCGTCGAGGAAAAGCGGAGGGCACCAACCGCACCGCAGGGCAAAAAGTGGAGGATGGAAGAGACGAGGGGGCTCAGAGTTGGGGGGGGGAATGCACGCACAGGGCGGTAGGGGGGCAGGAAGAAGCCGGGCTTCGATAACTGTCCGCTTGCCGGAAATCACGATCCCCCTGAGGGAGCGATGCTTTCCCCGAGCAAGAATGAAACCGAACGTCCTTCAGAGAACTCCGGGCCTGCCTGGATGAAGATCAACGGCTTTCCCTTCCGCTTGGCTCTGCCGGGCCCGCACGGAGTCCGGGGCTCTCTGACAGGACGGGACTCGGCGGGGGTAGGTGGGGGAACAGCGGGCAGGAGAATCGGTGGCAGGAGGGGAAGGGCTGTTCTGCGGGGCTGCCTCTCACCTCTTCAGGCGAAGACCACTGGAGCTGCGGCTGCTTTGGCTGCCCACCAGGCGGGCGGTCTCGGAAGGGTCCCCACTGGCTAAGGCAGGGGGCTCCATGGCCAGGAAGGCTGGCTGCAGCGGGCTGAACTTGACAGGCTCTCCACGAAAGCCCTTCGCGTGGGCTTCTGCTGCTGCTGCTGCTGCTGTTTTCGCCGTCGAGAGGTCCGGACTACAGCAGACACAGGTGGGTGGAAGGGAGGGCTGGGGCTGGCCCCACCCAACGCCCGCAAAACTCCTCCCCCTGCAGGCAGTCCTCTGCTCGCGCCCCCCCCCCGGACCTGCCGTTCCCATCTAGCGCGGGTGATTCCCACTGAGCCCGCCAGAACTAGCGATCGGGGCAGCGGAGGAAGTTTCCGACTCCGGTTAGCACCACTCGGTGCCTTCCTGCACCCGGGAAGCGCTCGGACTAAGCCGACCTTCCGTGGTTTGTGGGGCAAAGCCGAGCAATGTTCGCGCCGACTCCTCCGCAGAATACGAGGAGAGACCGAGGCCCGGCTGCGAAAAGGCTTCCCAGGAAAAAGCGCTCCTGTTCCATTCAGCCGAAGGACATCCGGGACCGCGGGGAGAGCCTTTCAAGCCGTTCCCCGATCCCGAGGTGGATGCAGCCGTCGAGATATAGTAATAGTAGTAAAGTTGGAAGGGACCTTGGAGGTCATCTAGTCCAACCCCCTGCTCAGGGGGGATGCGGAAGAACATCGCCGCGTATCTTAGAGGGATGTTGCCGATGGCGACGAGGTGGGAAAAGTCGCTATACCGGGGGCCGCCGTCTTCCCTAGAAAGGGCGGAGAAGATGAGGAATACCGGCTGGACAGGATTAGCTGTTAAGCTACGCGTCTTCTCACTTCCATGGGAACCGCAATCGGGAGCCACAAAAGGTCGCTGCCCGAAGGAAAAGCCAACGGAAGGGCTAGACGAGCTTTGGATCGCTGTGGGAGTGAGAGGTAGATCGCTTTTTATATAAATAAGAGATAAATCAAGGGGATCGGGAGTTCTTCAAGTTGAGCCAAAAAGGAATTCGCCGGAGGTGCCCTGTGGCACAGGAAGATCCAACTTCTCTTGTCTCTAAGCGTTCCGGATGTCAGCCCTGCGAGGTAGACCAAGACACCGTCTGCACAAGTTTGACTAGAACTATAGGCTACGCAGGGGTTCTCAACCTTGGCAACTTTAAGACTTGTGGACTTCAACTCCCAGAATTCCTCAGCCAGCTTTGCTGGCTGAGGAATTCTGGGAGTTGAAGTCCACAAGTCTTAAAGTTGCCAAGGTTGAGAACCCCTGGGCTACAGTAACAGAATTATGAAAGCTTGACTGCGTTTGCCTTTCCTACCTCTGATGCTCCAGTGAATTAGAGTGAAAGTTCTATTTCCGGGGCTTAAATCTGCCTTTGTTTTTGTCACACCTCTGCATATTTACAGTACTTCAGGATCGTCTCTGCGGTTCTCTACACCAGGCGGCTGGGGCAGTAGCCCTTCCCCTCCAGGACAGAGCTGCCAGGCCGGGCTTCCCTTCCTGATGGGCCCCCTTGGGTCCTCTACTTCTAGCTTAGTAGATCCAGAAGCCCCCCAGCGTGGTCGGTTACAGTGGGACGCGGGAAGGACAGGCGGTGGATGAGCAAGGCTTCATTTGCTCTCTGGAGGAAGGCTGAGACGTGGGAGCATTTTGGCACTGGGGGGGGGGTGCTGGCAGATGCAAAGTTGCTTTGTGGTCTCCCTTGACAGCTGCGAACAAGAGACGCGGATCGTCGGGCACCCGAGAGCAGGATTTCCATAAATCGGCCCCTTCTTCCAGGACTCGGAGCATCGGGTAGCCGACCAGGAACGGCAAGCGCTGAAAGGAGAGCCGAGCATCCGAGGTGAGTTAAAGGCTTCTTGCCGCAAAAAATAGAGCGGTCGATCTTGCTGGGAAGCTGCTGAGCGATTGCCGGCACTTGGGGCCGAGATGCTTTGACGAGCCGGTTCTGAAACTATCGGACTCGGGCGGGGACCAGGCGGGCGAAGCCATTGGAAGCAGCAGGGCTGGGGCGGTGGGGAGGGTCTGGTCATCGGAGGACTGTTATGCTTTGCTTAAGATAAGATAAGATAAGATAAGACCTTTGCACAAGTTCGCCTGTTGCACCAGTTGTGACCCTACCTGGACCGGGAGGCTCTCCTTACAGTTACTCATGCCCTTGTCACCTCACGTCTGGACTACTGCAACGCACTCTACATGGGGCTACCCTTGAAAAGTATTCGGAGACTACAGTTGGTCCAGAATGCAGCCGCATCGAGTGATAGTGGGTGCTCCTCGATACACCCACGTTACACCTATCCTCCGTGAGCTGCACTGGTTGCCTATTGGTCTCCGGGTCCAATTCAAGGTGTTGGTTATTACCTTTAAAGCCCTATATGGCTCAGGGCCAGGCTATTTGCGAGACCGCCTACTACCTCATAGTTCCCTACATCAGGTTAGATCCCACAGGCTGGGCCTCCTTCAGGCCCCGTCGGCCAAGCAGTGCCATTTGGTCGGGCCGCGGAGGAGGGCCTTCTCTGTGATGGCGCCCACGCTTTGGAACCAGCTCCCCCCGGAGATTAGGACCGCTCCCACCCTGTTGGTCTTCCGTAAGCTACTTAAGACCTGGCTTTTCCGGCAGGCCTGGGGTTTATAAAACCTGACCCCTGGATGACTGTCTTTGTACTGTTTGTTATGTTTTATGTGTTTTTTATTGTTAGCCGCCCAGAATCCTTCGGGAGTGGGGCGGCTTATAAATTTTAAAAATAAAATAAATAAAAATAAATAAGATAACCTTTATTATCATTTTTTTACTGTGGGCACAACGGCACACATCAAAAACGAAATTTAGTTGCCCAAAGTGAAACACATACATGACACACACCTAAACATACTATGTACCAGATATGTATAGACCCACACCCCATACATATACATAACAAATAAATCTTAAATACTGTCCATCTTGAATATATGACGGAAGGAGGAAGCTTGAGAGTTCACAAGGTTAATGCTGTATGGAATGAAACTATGGCCGAATCTGGATGTTCTGCTACGGATACCACGAAGCCTCCTCCCAGCCGTGGGAGAAGGCATTGCTCCGTTAATTGGTTGAGTTAATGGACCAAGAAATCTTCCACTGACCGGAGCCCTCCTTCGGCGAGGCGGCCGCGCTGGATGAAGCTGAGCAACCGACGCCTCCAGGGTGGCTGTATTCCCACAGCAGGCTCGTCTCAGTCTAGGAAAGACTTACCAGCCTTACTGGCATAATATGGTGAACTTGATTGGTATAAGCCATGATTATTATTATTTATCACCCTCGTCGTCATCGGTGCTTAGCATGTGGTGCGAATCCAGTGTGTGGAATTTGTAACGGTCGAGTAAATCCAGAGGTTGAATTGGTGCAATCACCAGGAAAATCGCCTTATGCCACCGCACCCCAAGAGGCTGTGAATAGCGCGCAGGCAGGACCGCTCCCTCTTTCTAAGGCAACCCTTAAGGCAACCCGGACTCGCGTCTCTCTACGCCCCGCAAGAGAACCGGAGGCCGACCCGCCGGGAAGGATCGGACTCAAAGGGGACCAGCCGGTGAAAATTTAACCCAGCTTGGCAGACAGAAACCTTGGGACAACTCCGGGCAGCGGTGCCCAAGCCCCAGGCTTCGGGCTTTCAGCTGACTCCTCTTGGACTCTACAACCTCTCGGTCCGATTGCACTTCGGGCGGAGTCAAGCCGGCCGGCGCGGCTCCGCCGGGCGAGCGCCAGGAAGATTCGGGCAATCAGGTGCTTACTCGGGCCGTCTGTCCAAAAGAGGCTTCGCAGTGGAGAGAGAGCCAAAGCCCGCCGGGGACTAGGAGCACAGCCGCAATCGAGGAAGCCCGAGCGCCTGGAGACCTGGCCGCCCGGGACCGGAAGGCATTTCCAGAGCCTTTCGTGGCGCGAACGATCCGGCCCACCTCTGCTGCGGTCACGGGCGACTGGGCTGCAGAAGCGCCTCGGAGAAGGAGCGCATTGCATTGTCTTTGGCACGAAAGCCATTGTGGCTCCCTGCGCCGGCGAGGGCGAAGGAGCCGGGCTCTGGATTGCAACCGCCGGGGCTCGGTGCCTTTGTCCTCTTCCTTACCTGGTGAAACCCGATGTCCGTCGCCATTGGATAATAATTCTTTATCAATGAGGAAAAGAACGAAAAGCTATTTCTCCAAAGAGGAACGACTTGCCCTTCTAAAGCGGGTTTTTTTTCTTGTGACCGAATAACGTAGGGTTTTTTTTATAATACCTTTTTCTTAACGAATAAAACCCCACACGCACAAACTATTATATTCCATCTGTAAAAGAATAATTTAACCCAGCTTCTTCCAAAGGGGTGACAAAAATCATACCTTTAGTTAAATAATCTGTTTAAACAGTTTTAGTTTAATTCTTCTTTTCCGTAAATGTTTCTAGACAACAGATCTTGTTCTTTACAAGCGAGTTTCAGATAATCTTTTTTATTAATTTAAAATATTAGAAAAGTGTATGACATAATGCAATTTTAATTTTTATCCTAACATTTGTTAGGGTTATTAAATTAATTCAAGAACTATTGTTCAGCTTGGGAATACTTTTAGCAGGGAAATGTACCTCTTTTTGTTTCTGAATACTTTTGAATATTTTTATGTGTAATGGGGAGCAGCTCCCTGGAGAACCTCCTTTGGTTCTATATTTATTTTATATATTGATATTATTACTAGTTTACATTTACCTAGATATGCAATCTTTTCAAAAATTATCAGTGATCAATTAGTATTTATACTTCATGCAACATTTTCATATAATATCTATTTTTTACATTGAGTAATAAATGGATATATGCTCTGGTTGTATGACAAAATTATATCTTAGAATGTGACCTTCCTAAAAGAAATAATGACAATTCTTTTCTACAATTATTGAAACCTCTTTGGTCTCTTATTCTTTGAATTTCTTTTCCATTTAGAGTATTAGTGACCCAAGGGGAATGCCTGGCAGTTATATTCTTTGTGCTTGTAGCAAATTGGTTGCAATTATATTTTTCACCTCATTAATTTGAAGTCTTTAAATATCTGACAATTCTACTGTATCTAGTCCTTTTTGTTCTGTAGTGATATAGCCTGATGTAGGTAAGCTATTCCACCAAATTTAAAGACCATATGATATTTGGTATTTTTCTCTTATCCCTGGATATTTCCTGTCGGTGATTTTGGAACTGGAATTCAGGATTTAAAAGTTCAGTACCTAAGCAATATTTGACTGGTCTTCATTC